GCTTCACCTCCCTGTTGAAATCAGATGCTGTCAGATGTCCTGGCGTTCAGGAATTGGGAAGGCTACCTGTTTTCCTTCCCAGGAGCCACTCACCTTGAACACTTGGTCCAGCGTCAGATAGCGATTGGCATCAGGGTGGATGGTCCAGAAGGAGATTTTACCATTAGCAGACGTCTCCCGGACAAACATATCGTGAAGGGATAGATTGTGTCGAATGGAGTTCTGGGTGGAGAGGAAAGATCTTAATGTTTTTGGCAACCAAGCATAGGTAGGACCCTAAGACACTACAACCCAGGCAGAGGAACACCCCCCTGGCAGACCGCGGCCCTTCATGCTCACCTGGTAACCACTTACATCCCCATCACTAAAGCCCCTTAGTGCTCTCACAAAAGATATTCCAGCTTCCAGCCCAGTAATCAGCTAGCCCTCTCCCCTGCCTGAGAGGAGTTGAGAGAAGATGATAGGGTGTTTGAGATGGAAAAGGGAACATCAGGAATTGAAGAGGGCCCTTAGTTTCAAACCATTTTCCATCCTGTTTCATGGGTTGCTTGTTCCTTTGGATGCAAAAATAAAAAAAAAGCAATTCTCCAAGCAAGCATCCCCCAAGTGTGAGGGCTGGTCTACACTAATGCTGTAAATCAACCCAAGTTATGCTATGTAACTATGTTCGAGTTACAGCGGTGTCTACTGTTGACTTACCTTCCCACCTCTCTGGGAGGTGGATTACAGATCTTAACAGAAGAGCACTCTGCCATCAACTTAGCTTGTCTTCACCAGACCCACTAAATCGACACTGCTGCATAGATTGCAGCAATACCGATTTAGCCGGAAGTACAGACAAGCCCTAAAACTCTGTTGCCCACACCTAGGGATAGAATCAGGTGCATCCCCAGCAGAACATGTTACCTTCCAGCCTGGCTTGGCCACATATTTGAAATAAGGAAAATGGTCCTCAATCCAGGTATAGATATCCTTCAAGGTCATGCGCTTCTTCTCAGTGCTGTTGATGGCAAACTGGATCATGGCCATGTAGGAGTAGGGGGGCCGTTCTGAGATTGAGTCCTGCCACAAGGAGGAGGAGGTAGCAGTGGCAGCAATGGAGTCTTCTTCAATCTGGAAGAAAAAAGGAGGAAACTGTGTGAAAGTTGCAGGGGCCCAGGAAAGTTCCAAGGAAGTTCCTCTTAGCCTGAGGACTCTGCTGCACAGATCAACTTGGCGAAGGCTCAGGTTACCCAGATTTTGTCATGTCTGCTCCCTTTGAGTGTTCTCACCCACATGTTCTGTCTTCAGTTTCCAGAGGTTTACTCTATTATGTAGCCCACCATCTCCCTCCTTACCTTGATCGTCTCCTGCACAGGTGTCTGGTTCTCCTTCTCCATCTCTTGTTTCACAGTACAGGGGCCCAGCCCATCAGAGCTCATTTTCCCTAGCCATTGGATGTTAGTCAGACTGTTATCCAACCCGCTGCTTGTTGCCTCTCCACTGCCTGCAGGGAAACAAACCGAGAGCCCTGCTCACTCACCTGCTGCCATCCCAGATACCTAAAGAGAGGCCCCAGCCAGGTCTCCCAAAATGGGCCCAAGTTCCCCATCTTGAGCTAGAGGCACCAGATGGTGCTCTAAGGCTAAAGCATCATGTGGATCTAGCCAGAGCTCCTGATTTAGCTGTGGATCAGCCCAATTGCTGGAAAGTCTCCAAACCTAAAAATCCCAGAAGGATCTGAACCTTCATCTGCCCTGGCCCAGAGTGAGTGCTGAAAGCAGTACTTAAAAAATGTCACCGGACGTTTACTAGCCAACGAACTAAACATCTTTGTCCCAGGCAGCAAAACCCTTTGCTCCTGTAGTTCTGACCCTCCTCACCTCCCATTCTGTCAATATACCAAAGTCTTGACCTGTAACACACCCTGCAAACTCTATGGGAAACACCATGCCCTAAGATCACTGATTTTGACTTGGATTCAGTATTTGAACCCCTGTCACCATATGTAGAAGGCTAATATATTAACCAGCTGGGCTGCTTGAAATTTCACATTTTTCACCACTGCACTCTCCCATATTGAGCAAGGCACAGGCCTCCCACACACCCTTCATTGCACTTAAGAGGCCAATAGAAGGGAACAGCCTACGTACTGTTTCCTTCCTGTTCTTGTCCTCCCATGGAATTGACTTGTGGAGGCCACAGTACTGCCCTTTCCACAGTTTTGTCAGGGTTTTGTCCGATGTTCTTCTCTCCACCCTGACAATCTGCTGCTCTGGCCCCCTTTGTTGCTGTGCTCGTCTCATCCTTTGATTGGAGCGTCTGCTGAGCTGCTGTTGAGCCTGTGGGGCGAGAGCTGCCCCCACTGCTGATAAGAATGAACTTGTTGGGCCCATTGCTGCCACATTCTCTCCCCTTGGCTGTCAGAGCCTCGATGATACTCTGGATGTCAGCATCGGGAGGGATGATCACCACCTGGGTGTTGGGCATGGTGGGATGATTAATGATCTTTATTCCTGCTGGGAATTTCTGGGTGCCACACTCCACTCTGTCCCTGGGTTTGTCCCCTTTGCTATGCTCCTGCGTGGGGACTCCTTTACTCTCCCCATCCGGTTCATCTCTTGCTGGAGAGTTGGATGCATTGCCATCTGGGAGGGACAGTTTTCGTCTCTTCAGAATCAGGGGCCTGCGAGGGCTGGTCCTCATCATTGATCTGTACAGTCGCTCTCCATTGAAGGCTGCAAAAACAGACCCTGCAAAACATAAGACAGAACATGAAAGAAGAGCTGTGGGCCTGGAACATATAGGAAAGGAATCAATTGTCTCTCATGCAAGGTACCCAATCAGCTGGTGTATGAGGGGCTTTCCACTCCATATAGTGGTAGTCCCAAGGGTGGAAGAGTCCTCACCACCTGTCTTGGGGCTAGGGGACAGTCCCTATGCCCATAGGGAAGAATTGTATACTACATCCACTGCAGGGAAAGGAAGAACAGATCAGAACAGACTATTGGAAAAATTGGCAGCACCTCCTTCCCTCATTTATCAACACACACCTTGTGAAAACCCCACACAAATGACCAGCACCAAGTAAATAATTTGCAATGATAACTGAGGATCTCAAACCACACCCGTGAGGTTAGAGTTATCATAACTGTTTTATAGATGGTCAACTGCTTGAAACACCATAAATTAGGAGGGTTTTAACCCATGGGAGCTTGAAATAGATGTATTAGAAGCTAGGCACTTCCCTCCTTATCACTGTGCAGAACTAAATTTATCAACCTCAAATGGCAGAATAAACTTCCTAATCTGGACTTTATGGATGGTAAGTGATTTTAAAATTTAGAACTGGGGGGATAAATGGCAAGACCAGAAATAGTAATTTGGAGAAAAGATAATTGGTTGCCCTTACATGAACACCGGTTGCAGATATGGGAGTTGTGGCGAGTGGAACTTTGCTCTTGCACAGGAAATCTTCTGTGTAACTACAGTGCTTGCATTATGCATATTATGTATGGTAGATTAAGCATTAACCAATATGGAGAGGATTTCACATCAGTGGAGCCGATCCAGCCTGTTAGTGTCACAAAATTCTCAGAGAGGGTCATTTGTATTGTCATAAAAGGGCAAAACCAAAACTGACAGAAAAATAAACTAGTTCCCTTCCTCCATGATAGAGGCAAGCGACACATCCAATCCCGGCCTCTTTCAAGCAGTTAGAGATGCTCAGAGAGGCTCGCCAACAGGTATTCTCAGCATTCTACAGAGGTTACGACTACTGTCCTACCTGTCACATAGAGGGACCTTTGGGAGGTTAGGGCAACCCCCCGCCCGCAGTGTCACACAGAGAGTGCCACGGGGCTAGGGTCAGAACCGGCCCCCGCAGAGAGCTCTAGAGAGTGATGACAACCCCTCAGGTTGCCCAGAGAGCTCTGTGGGAGGAAGCAGCTTCATAGGATGCCCTGGGCACCACTGACAAAGGCCTTGCAGCATCCTGGCTGTGTGCGGTGAGGGAGCCATGCCTACAATGGGAACTCTCACCATCTCTTCCCCCACCCCATCCCTACCCCCCCCATCCTTGTTCCCCAGGGGCCTGCATCCACCTGTCTCAGGTTCCTCTAGAGCCTCCAGCCCAGGTTTTACACCCTCTTCACCATGTCCCCACGATGACCCTCCTTACCACCACAAACCCCACTGAGCCCCTTTTCCTTCCGTGGTCCCTATAAATCGCCTCCCAGCTGCCGCCCCCCCCCACGCCCCGACTCCCCGCAGCAGGGCTCCTTCCTCCTGCCCGCACCCTGATCCCCGCCCCTCGGCCTGGGCCTTCTGCCCCTCCCAGCCCCGCTCTCACCCCACTGTCGGTGGGGGCAGGGGGGTCGCGCGCCCCGCTGCCTCCCCGCAGGGACCCGGCGCCGCCGGGCTCCGCTGCTGCTCTCGGGACACAGAGGCAGTTCGTTTCGTTTCCCGGTTTGAATTTGGCGCCCGGTGGCCGGTTGGCGTCACGTGCGGGGACGGGGCCAATAGCGATCGGGCCGGGGGGCAGAGCGTTCCATCCGGGAGCGGAACTGGCCAATGAGCGGCCGCGCCCGGCGGTGCCGACACACTGGTGACCCCGGCAGGAGCTGGGGCTGGACAGGACGCGAGGCTCCGCGCGGAGCAGCGGCTTTCCTGAGGTGCCCGGGCGGGGCGGACGCGGGGGCCGCAGGGGGGCGCTTGTCTCGGGGCAGAGCCCTGCCCCCGTCCGCTCCTCTGAGCGGGGGCTCCAGCGCTGCGCCCTCCCCCGGGCTGGTCGTGCCTCGCCCCTAGCCGGGGGCCCCTGCGCCTCTCGCCCCCTGGTGCCTGCGCTGCCCTCCCAGCCCCTAGCCCAGACCCCCAGCCAGGCCGAGGAACCGGCCGGCTAGCGATGGCTGAGTAACCTCTGTGTACGCACAGCCCGCTCCCGAGCCTCGGCTGTGCTGGGCGTGTAGCCCGCTGCCGGGTGGGTCGGTGTGTGAGAAGAGCCCACTGGTTGCGCGCTGGGGGGGTAGGGCGTAGGGGGAGAGAGCACTGGCTTGTGTGTAATGTGTGTATGTAGAGCAGTGGTCCCCAAACTTTGCAGGGTTGTGCCTCCCCTTACCCCTGTCTGCCCCTTCTCCCGAGCCGGCCGGGTTAAGGGGGCCGTGTGGGGGTGGCGGAGCAGAGCCATGGTTAGGGCCGTGGTTAGGAGCAGAGCTGGGGCCCGAGGTGGAGCGGGGCTGGGTTTGTGCATGTATGTGTATATATGTGTCTAGCTAGCTACTGGGAGGGTGGGGGTATATAAAGTAGCTGGCTATATAAGTATATACACACACTCCAGCAAGGGACATACAAGGCAGTAAGAAGAGGATCTTTAAATACAGTAAGAGAAAGACAAAGGAAAGTGTAGGTTTTTTACTTAGGAGGGAAGGAGAGCTAATAACTGAATATTAAGAAAGTTGATGTGTTTATTGCCTAGTTTGCTTCAGTCTTCACCAAATAGGTTAATGGTGAACAGATAATATTAATTATATTGGGTAACGACAAGGGGGAAGTAATGCAAGCCAGAATAGGAAAAGAACAGGTTAAAGAATATTTAGATAAGCTAGATGTATTCAGGTTGGCATGTTGTATTCATTTCATGGTATTTAAGGCATTAGCTGAACCAATCTCTGAATGGTTAGTAATAATCTTTGAGAATTCCTAGAGGCCAGGGAAGGTCCCAGAGGACTGGAGAAGGGCAAACCTAATACCTATGTTTTAAAAAAAGACTTGGAGAATTATAAACCAATCAATCTAACTTAAATACCTGGAAAGATACTAGAACAAACTTATTAAGCAATCAATTCGTAAGCATGTGGCGGATAATAGGGTTATAAGGACTAGCCAGCATGGATTTGTCAAGAACAAATCATGTCAAAACAACTTCACTTTTTTCTTTGACAGGGCTACTGGCCCAGTGGATAGGGAGGAAGCTATAGATGTTATATATCTTCATTTTAGTTCCACCTGACATTCTGATAAGCAAACTAGGGAAATGTGGTCTAGATGAGATTATTATAAAATGGAGTGCATAAATGAGTACAGTCTTGCAACCAAAGAATAGTTATCCATGGTTTGCTGTCAAGATGGGAAGGTGTGTCTAAGGGGGTCCCATGGGGGTCAGAACTGAGTCCACTGCTATTGAATATTTTCATTAATGACTTGGATAATTGAGTGGAGAGTAGGCTTGTAAAACTGGCAGATGACCCCATGCTGGGAGGGGTTGCAAGCACTCTGGAGGACAGGATTAGAATTTAAAACAACCTTGACTAATTGCAGAATTCTCCAAGATGAAATACGAGTAAGACAAATGTAAAGTACTTCGCTTACAAAGGAAAAATCAAATGCACCACTACAACATGGGGAAAAACTGGCTAGGTGGTATTACTGATGAAAAGGAACTGAAGGTAACAGTGAATCACAAATTGAATATGAGTCGTCAATACGATGCAGCTGTGGAAAAAGGCAAATATTCTGGGATGTATCAACAAGAGTCGTATGCAAGTCATGGGAGATAATTGTCCTGCTTTGCTCAGCACTGGTGAGGCCTCAGCTTGAATAGTGTGTCCAGTTCTAGGCACCACACTTTAGAAAAGATCTGAACAAAATGGAGAGAGTCCAGAAGAGAGCAACAATAATGATAAAAGGTTTAGAAAACCTGGCCTATGAGGAAAGATTCAAAGGGGGGAGGGGGCATGTTTAGTTTTTGAAAAAAGAAGCCTTGAGGGGGGATCTGATAAGTCTTCAGATATGTTAACTGCTGCTATAAAGAGGATGGTGGTCAATTGTTATCCATGTCCACTGAAGGTAAAACATGAAGTAATGAGCTTAATTTGCAGCAAGGAAGATTTAGGTTAAATACTAGTAAAAACTTTATAACTATTAAGGGTAATTAAGCTGTGGAACAGGTTATCCAGGGAGGTTGTGGAATCCCCATCATTGGAGGATTTTAGACTAAGACCTGTCAAGGATGGTCTAGGGCAGTGGTTGCAATCGGCTGGTTGATTCTAGAGGACCTCCAAGTCGATTGCGATCTCCGGTAGCACAGTGGGGCTGCCGCTGAGACAGGCTCCCTGCCTGCCCTGGCCCCACACCACTCCTGGAAGCGGCCAGTGTGGCGTGGGGGTTGAGGGGGCAGGGATCTCCCTCTGTGCGCTGCTCCTGCCTGCAAGCACAGCCCCCGAAGCTTCCATTGGCTAAGAATGGGGAGCTGTGGGGGTGGTGCTTGCAGAGAGGGGCAGCGCGTGGAGCCATGTGCTGCCGGGCCCCCCCACCCCAGGGGCAGCAGGGACACGTTGGCCCCTTCTGGGAGCGGTGTGGGGCTGGGTTAGGCAGGGAGCCTGCCACAGTGGCAGCCACGCTGCGCTGCCAACCGTTGGAGGTAAGTGCTACCCAGCAGGAGGCCACATCCCAACCCTGAGTCCTGACCTCCCTCCCAGAGCAAGCATCCTATACCCTCTGCTGCACCCAACACTCTGCCCCAGCCCAGAACCCCTTCCTGCACCCAAACTCCCTCCCAGAGCCCACAACCGCACCCCCTCCTGCACCCCAGACTGGTGCCCCCTCCTGCACCCCAACCCCATGCCCCAGGCTCAGCCCAGAGCTCCCTCCCAAACTGTGAACACCCCTCCCGAACCCCAACTCCCTACCCCAGCCCGGTGAAAGTGAGTGAGGGTGGGGGAGAGTGAGTGAGTGGGGGGGGGGCGGGTATAGAGTAAGTGGAGCGGGGCCTCGGGGAAGGGGTGGAGTAAATCCTGGGTTGCCCTTAAATTCAAAACGTCATCTTGGGTGTAAAAAGATTGGAGACCACTGGTCTAGGGTTTACTTGGCCCTGCTTCATCGTCAGGGGTTGCAGTTGATGACTTCTTGAGGTCCCTTCAAGCCCTACATTTCTTTGATTGTGTAACTCTATGACATAGGTGGCTACATGTGTCACATTCATATATTTTTAAAGAAATGTATAACGGTTCTTTAAAAATAGCTAACTGGGAACCATCATGTGAGGAATATAGCCAGTTTATTTAAACATTCGTTCTTATTACAGTTGCCTTCATCCTCCCTCCTATTAATTTTGAAAAGCTTACTTGTGTCTTGACTTAAACTAGACTGTAAACTCTTTAGGGGGCAAGGACTGTCTTCCTATGAGCTTGTACAGTATCCAGCACATGGAGCCCCAGTTCTGTCTGAGGCTTTCAGGAGCAACCCACATTACAAATTATAATTAAAATATGGATGTGTTTGGTGTTCCAATGAAAAATGTTGGGTTGAAAAGTCCACTTGCCACTGTGAGGGAGGTTGCTTTCCCTGACAACAGTGGGGGCCTAAGACATGTTTCAAGTACATTTAAACTTTAATTTAAAGAAGCCTTTTACTACTTATGGTTGCAAAGTAAATCAACTAAACGTGAACAAAGTGTAAACATAACCAAATGCAGTGTCATCTTCTGGAGTCTAGATACAGCTGCAGTGCTTCTACTGTTGCTCTGACCTTTGCAATCAGTAAATTAACAAGATTCTGTTCAGTTTAATTCACTATACAGATCTCCTTGCAGCAGTGAATTTGGCAGGAATTGTCAGTTCCATGCTGCTGCTGCTGTTTAGTGAAGCTCTTCCCAGCAGCAAGATGGCGCTGGATATATTCGCAGTGCAGAGGATGCCCCAATAAAACAAGTCCATGAGAGAGGTGCACACTATGGACTATATCTTGTATAGCAGCCAGAAAGCTCTAATGATTGTGTCCTCGATGGAGTATGGATTTGTGTGTGTATATACTATAAAACATGTATATTTTCAGTTTTTATTAGAATTTTTTCCTGAGAATTTTGAGTGATCAGAAGTCTATTCCCTAAAAAAAAATAAATAAATAAATAAAAAAAGTTGCCAGATTTGTATGATGGCTTCACATCCCCATTTGCTTTCTGCAGATTTGGGTGCAGTTTGTCATCTCCTTCCTCTTCCCCTAACTGGCTCCACCAGGCATCATGAGGTTTCTTAGTGACTTTCTCACACCTTTTGATGCCTCCAAAGAAGAAATGCATCCGCCAGGCCCGCAAGGCACAACTGCGGTTCCTTGAAACTCCAAGAGAGGGACCTACACATCACTATGGATCTCCACTGCCTTTGGCTGAGAACCCAAGACATGTTTCTACCAAACCTCTAGACCAGAATGCCTCCATCTCATGGGTAGGTGCAGGTTTCCTTCCCTTAGTTTCTTATAGCAATTGTTCTCAGCCTTCTTCCACAGATCTTAACAAAGAGCTGTTTGGACTGGATCTTGGGCATGTATAGCACGCACACACCCTTATTAATTTTTTTGTTCTCTAGGTGGTTATGGTGTTTGGGTTGCTTCAAATTGCAGTCACAAGCAGCCCAAGTTGTATTGCAGATTGGAGTGCTCACATCTGAATGGGTTATGGTGGCTGCCAGCTGGTAAAACAGAATTCCCTGTCTTGTGAACTAGCATGGTGGCATGAAAAGGTTGGAATCCATATGAGAGGGAGATTCTTTTTGGTTTTTACGGTAACTGAAAACCTTGGAAATGGAAAGTAGAATACTTACTTTTTAGTTTTATTCTGTATTGGATTTGATACTTTGAAATAAAGCAACTATTTCAAATTGGTGGTGTAACTCTCAACCCTCCAGCAACTAAATGTGACACCTTCCTGCTCAACTATGATAAAAAAAATAGTCTGCATCTTAACTGTGGTTCTCTTATTTAATAGGCATTTTTTAATAATCTCAATTTTGATAGCTTGCATTTCTGTAGTCAAATTTACACAAATAAACAGAGGATCTCCGGTCTCTGTGGGATGGAGTTAAATGTTGGGTTAAAATGGACGTTATACTTTGTAATGTATATGGTTGAAAGGCAGAGTATTTGATGCAAGGTGATGAGGCCTACTTCCAGAGATTCAGTGTGGTAAGGAACAGGGGGTTGCTTCTTGCATTAGCCAGCCATTTGGTGAGAAATGCTGTCTGCTCCAAAGACCAGTGTATTGCTTGGAAACAAACTAGTACATGCCTGAGGTCAGTGTGAGTCTGTTTGAAGATCAAGCCTGGTGGGAAAGTGGGGAGAGGATGTGTTTGTTTTCAAAGGGTTTAGCAGTAATACATAAACTACAAACCAAGAGTCAACAACAAGAGAGACAGCTGATTTCAAAAATTCTTATAAAGTTGAGAGACCAATAACCCCCTCTCCAACATGATAAAGGAGCACTACCAAGATAAATTGTATTTATTAAACCTTTTTCAAAATCATGTTCGCTTTTCACTGCTCATACGTTTTGTTGATGTCTTGCATTTCAATCTTGATTGAACAACACTGCTCAGCTTTACTGTTATGCTTCATTTAGGTCAATGCTCGTTTTCTGAGTTGTCAACACCACAATGAACTCTTTAAAAACAGGTTTTTATTGATGATAACAAAACTTAAATATTTCTGTTTTTCTGATAAATGTTGCTAAGGTGTTATTACTTGGTTTCAATCAAAAGAAAATGTTGGGCCTGAAGTAAGCTGGCAAATAGATTCTCCCTACTAGAAATTCAAGGCAGGGTGATAAAGCAGGCTTCAGGCAGATACTAAGGTGAAGAGCATAGTGCAAATATCTAGATAGATTACTTCTTCAAAAATATGCTATGCACTTTAACTCTGCCCTCCTTTTCATTTTTATGTGTGTTTAATCCTCTGCTTTTCCTCACACAGCTCTTCCAACAGACCTAAATATTGTTGAGGGGGAATTGGGTTATTGGGTTTCTGGTCATTCGGTCCTAGGATACTTTTATCATGACATACAAGGTGGGTTTTTTTGTTTTTTTTTTAAGCAAACGTGCAATTGTTCTGTGGGAGCTGTCTGTCTTTGTAGAAGCCATCACCTCAGGCAGCTCTGCTAAATAATAACACTTAAGTCTCAAAGCTTTTTAACAAAGCAACCCTAAGGGGCAAGATTTCAAACTCGAATGAAACACTCCACCAGCCCCAGAGACCTGGAGTTATCTATGTTAGATTTTAAATATCTTTTCATTGAGTTTTTTAAAGCAGAGGATTTTAAACATGCTTCAGGCATCAGTTGTATGGGTTCTAAAACAGTGAGTAAAACAGTTGCTGAGAGGAGGCAGAATCTGTGTGTACCAGAAACAATGGAAAATTTCCAAATTTACACTGGATTTATTTGGCTATGTCTGAGGAGTATTCAGTTAATAAGTAGTGTCACAGTTACTGAGCTAACTGCACCCCTGGTCTCTTTTGAATGCATCGCTGCTCAGCTCTCAGACCTCAAGCCATCACCTCTCTTGGGATGGAATCACACGATTTTCCCACTCTTGCCTGGGCCCTGAACTAATAGCCATGAATGGACTTAGCCTCCATGAATTTATCTAGTTCTCTTTTAAACCCTGTTATAGTCCTAGCCTTCACAACCTCCTCAGGCAAGGAGTTCCACAGGTTGACTGTGCGCGGTGTGAAGAACTTCGTTTTATTTGTTTTAAACCTGCTGCCTATTAATTTAATTTGGTGGCTCCTAGTTCTTATATTATGGGAACAAGTAAATAACTTTTCCTTATTCATGTTCTCCACACCATTCATGATTTTATATACCTGTATCACATCCCCCCTTAGTCTCCTGTTTTCCAAGCTGAAAAGTCCTAGCCTCTTTAATCTCTCCTCATATGGGACCCGTTCCAAACCCCTAATCATTTTAGTTGTCCTTCCTTGAACCTTTTCTAATGCCAATATATCTTTTTTGAGATGAAAAGACCGCATCTTTATGCAGTATTCAAGATGTGGGCATACCATGGATTTATACAATGGTAATAAGTTATTCTCCATCTTAGTTGTAGCTAAATTGGCCCTCATCATATTGTATGTATAGTGGGGGTTATTTTTTCCTATGTGCATTACTTTACATTTATCCACATTAAA